AGATGATGTCAGAACCTCCCTCTCTTAGAAGTTAGCTCACATAGAGTCACTGTAATGTCATAAGACCAAGGAACAACAGAATGCCAGGATTCGACATATAGACATAAAATAGAAACATTGTATTATGCCAGAATTTAAATAATAAGTGCAGCAGCTTTGGCCTGAGACTTGGCTTGGGCACTCTGACCATTACAAGTTAATAATACACTGCTTGGGACATGGCAATGTGCCTGGGCTGGTTTGAAGATTTTGTTCTGGTCTAGTGGCCTTGTAGCCACAAAAGCTACCAGCCCGAGACCAGACTGTCATATGCCTCTAGAGTCTTAAAAGTTGGGTTATAGGGTTAATGAGTAAGAATGATAACTCTGTTTGTTAATGATGTCAAAACTTGAGGGAAAAATATTGGAAATGATAACTCTGCTCTGTCATAGTTTATTAATGATGAATAAAAGATGAACAAGAGGAAGTGAAACACATGTCCAAAACCAAAAATTATATGATCTATGTTTTGGAACATCATGAATGTATTCCTGCTTACTAAATTCTGTATAAATAAAGAAGCACTCTGGCTGCTAGTCAGTCAAGCTGCAAGATCCTCCCGACCACCATGGCCTGGTTCACCTCCTTCCCTCACCAACTCCTATGTCCTCTGCTGGGACCTGTCCCACAGGTGATGGCTTCTGTCAGAGCAGGACAAGCCATACCGAGATGCGCTTCCTCTCTGTCCATCTCTCCAAAAAAATGCAATTAAGAAATGTCCTGTGTCTGATCCCTCCCATCACTGCTCTTACATCCACCCATCTTCAGACCCTGCCCTCGTCTGGAGCTGGACTCCAGCACCTAACAAGATTTTCCATAATGAAATATGTGCCAACATTTGGATGTGTCACTGAAAGGTATTACTAGTGAAAATCATTAACCCTACAAAGCATCCAACATAACATGGAAAGTAATCAAGTGAAAGGTTAAAACCAATCATGAAATTTGGAAAGACCTAAAGTTTAAAAATAGTGTTTATAGAGCACCAAAGTACCCAGGGAAGAAAGCTCTGGTTTCATTACCCAGAGGGGAAAAAAATTGAAGTAAAAATCTATAGTGCATTCCCATGACTATTTCATAGCTTATTACAAATAGTCTTTAGGAACGCTTTCATTTCTGCAATGAGAACAAATAAACTCAATTTTAATCCATTTACCAGGGAATGGCAAAACTAAATATAACCTACTTTGAGAACATGACTAGAGGTGAGCATAGTACAACAATGTAAAGGTAACAGGTCAGTCGCAGAGGCACACATCAGCACTCCAGCACATGGAGGACAAGACAGAGCATGGCAAGCTCCCGGCCAACCTAGGCTGCATGGGAGTGTCAAGTCAGTCTCAGCTACACAACAAGACAACAACCAAACAAAAAACCAAGCCCATGGAGCAATAAATAGCTTTCATTCAGCACATACTGAGTGAGGTATGAGGGATACTCTATAGCTCTACCCAAGAAATTTGCTTTCCAGCGAATAGATGCTTTCAACTTTTTGTTTTACTTGAGACAAGCTCTTGTTATGTAGCCCTGGATGGCCTGAATTCACTATGTACATCAGGCTGGCCTCAGATTCACACAGATCCATCTGCCTCATAAATTTGTATTGCCGTATGCTGGCTTTTCTGTGTCTTCCAATACAAGCTGCAGGTTACACTGTGTATCTTAACACCCCATGAAACACTTGGACTCTCCGGAATGGGTCAGTTAGTTCAAAGTCTGAACTGCAAAGGCAGCAAAGTGACTTCACTGGAGAACCGAGAACACAGGAAGCTAGGTATTTTTAGCAGGTGAAGATTTAAATGACAGCTAAGAAAGAGAAAGGAAGAGGGGGAGAGAAAGCATATCCAAATGTATGCTAACTTGACACGGGTGTGCTGAGGAGCAGAAGCAGGAAAGCAGCAAGGCCTTTGTTTTCCATAAGCACACCGTACGGGCAGTGAAAACACAGCGCCGGTGACGTGCCGCAGCCTTGACTATGACACTGCGTTGAAAACAGCACAGAGGCATGCACACTGCAGAACGGCATGCTGTGTGATCACAGCCAAGGCTACACCATGCAGCCTGGGCAAACACTGCCGCAAACACTGGGTTCACTGCACATGTGGTTCTGAATTCACTTCTGGCT